AGTGGTACGGGGTTACCCAGCAAAATGTTTGTCCACTACTCCGCTTGTTTATGAGTTATATGTATTTAAAGTTTAGACAAGCGAAGTAGTGGACAAACATTTTGCGGGGTGACCCCGTACCACTCCACTCTGTCAATCTAAACTTTAAATACTTATAACTCAAAAACTACTTGCCCTAAATTCGATTTTTATGAATCAAAATATTTAGAAAAATATTCTGCTTTGGAATATGAAATTAAAACTCTAGGTTGTCATAACTCTAGGTTGGTTTTTTAACAACTTGAAACCATAAAAAATATTTTGAAAAAAGTGAATACTTTTTTAAATAATGAGTGTTCCTTAATAAAAAAATCACCCTGTATAATTTAAATACTATTTGAATTTATCATTTTATTCAATATATTTTAATTTTCGTTAATGAATACCTTAGTATTCAGGAGCAGATTTAGGTGGWGATATGGGTGCTTGAGGTGAGGTTAGGTTATTAGGGTGATCTCAGCTAAAGAATCTCTTTTCCACCTCTGGTATTAATTTTTTCCCTCATTGACGCTCTTTCAACCGACAATGTTAACATAATAAAACATACGCTAAATTTTATTCTGCAATTAGGCCTCYGAATTTAAGAGTGTGAGCTTTACCAACTATATTATTCCAGATTAATGTACATAATTGTCGATATATCATAATGTAATGTTAAAATCTCATTAAATAAAAATACAAAAATATACTTAATTACACSAATTATAAAACTAAGGGCAATTTGYTATGCAAGAAATGAGATTTCCCCTTACCTTAGCAATACCCAGGAAAGCCAACAAAATTACATAAATTTTATTTTATTTAAAAACCAGTAATTTAAAAAAAAAACCCCCCCACTGTTTAAACATTTTTATCACTACATGATTTTATTTTTAATTCATTTAAGTATGAATTTTTATTTATTCTTCAATAATGTAAATTTTGATACAATATGAACCAGTCATTAGTTGATTGTTATTTATTGTTGTAAACTTGAAAAGTGAAAATGCACGGTTTATTAATTTCAGTACCATCAACTTAATATTTGTTTAAATAATTATAGTTTAATTATCAATTTTAAGTAACTACATCAACAGTAAAACCTAACTTAACAGATGAGGTATCTGTTCAACAGGATGATTAWGTTCCAGAAAAACTACTTGTCTATAACAAACTCTTTGAATACAAACAGTACAATTTCTCCATGATACCTTGATAACGGACAACRACCTTAGTTCAAACACAATTATAATTCCATATGAATGTATTATGCAACAGCATTGTGTGAGGTGCGATTACACATAAAACCTGGATGGTGAAGGCATTGGATTACGATTGATCACTTACTCCTATAAAAATGTGCATATATTTATCATTATATATAATATGWTTAATTAACTATGAATATATGTGTGTACCTGAATATTATATTTATTAATAGATAGTTATTAACAGATTATTTTCATAAAATACAATATTTTCATTAAATAGTTATATACCTACAACCAAAATGAGTTAAATAAAAAAGATAGTAGAGCCTGCCTACAATGAATACTTATTATTATTTATTTGTTCATGGGTAATAACTCAATTACATAAAGATTATAATTTAGTACATATAAATATGGTATAACATTTGAAAAAATAAAATAAATTAATGAATAACTAAGATACTTAATATTCTAATAATACAAAAAAAACAGTAATATGGTAAAAATAACATTGGAGAAAATACTCAAACTACGAAACTCAATACAGTAATACAATTAATTGTAGATATAAAACTAATAAAAATTTTTTCTTACAAAACTATTGAAAAAATAAACAGAATTTAGATTGAAATTAAAAAATACAATTTATATATCATTAGCGATAGCTATCATTCTATTTATAGGAGCGGATAACGCATAAATAGTTTTGTGGTTATTTAGATAGAAAGTAGTAACGATTGATGATCTAGTTTTAAATTGAGGAACAGAAAAAAACTTAATAGCTCCRGAAAAATGATGAAACCATTTAGTAGTTTGAACAAAAATATTAGATCATTCACTTCTTCTGTTTGATAAGCACTGGATGTTAAATGTATTTAACAGTGGTTAATAAGACGAATGAGGTACATGTATAATATTACATTTATATAATATAACAGATATTATTAATGATCCTGTGATTGCTTGTTAGATTTCACCCAATTTTTAGAAATCTAAAAAAATAATAGRTATCAAAACAGAGACGTGTATGCATATATTACAGTACACACGTACTATTTAAATATTATGTTGGATACACACACATAACACATTTAATATAGGCTATGGGTCTATGCAGTATCCATAGTTTATGATCTAAAACTTATGGCATTAAAAGTTGGCTCCAAATTCTAATATTACCGTGTACCGACCGCAGATCACTGCTGATACAGAGTTGAAGAGTCTGAGGCCAATATAAAACTGATAAATTGTACRAGTGATTACTTAAACGAATGATTTTGCACTATTGGTCTGCTTGGAAAATCTTAATAATCCAAAACAATAGGATTTGTATAACTAACGTCAAAATACTTTTTATAGAAACAAATTTATATTAAGCAAGACACATTGTCAACATAAGAAATGTCGTATAACTGARATGGCAAAAATAACAATGATACTTTGATAGAAACTTGGAATAAGTAAAAATTTGGATCCAAGACCATAAATAAAATTAATAAAGTATAATAATATAAAAACGCAGTATAATCGTTACACCATACACTTGAATAAATTGTACACAATTGATAAGAACATAAAAATGATAAGAAAGTGTTTGTCCACCTAATCACTATAAACAAAAATATATTGATAGCAGTCATCCGATTAATACAATAATATAAGCAAAACTATACTGACATTATTATGAATTTGAAAATATCAAAAAGGACGTAGACAATTATTAGTGTACTGTGAAGACCATAAAATATGTTGTATAACACAACATAAATGATTACTGAATACTAATTACTGATTAGTAATTGGCCAGTAAGCGTTTAGCTTAGTCGTTGAGGTGTTCTATTCTGTTATGTAAATCAGATAGTCACTCAAGCAAATTTACGTAAAATTGAGTTGATTATAAGATTGACATGGAATTTAAAGCTTCACATAAAATTATTTTATCAATTTTTTTAAAGAAAATCTAAATCACTTTCTATTGAAATAATTTTCAATTGTCATTATGTTTTATTTAAATAATTTGGTTATTATAAGGTCATTATTACACTAAAAAAATAAATWAAAAAATATTTAGTAAGTAAATTATTTTTACTCGTTGTTCACATTTCTCGATATTTGATACAAGCCGTAATCATRCAATATATTAGGTACCTACCTATTATTCACTGATACCAAATTAATCGTAAATCTACGATTTTAAATTTATATAAYAGATTAACAGATAACTATGCATAATTTTATTCTCAGTTAATTTTTATAATTTTAATTACTCTACAAATTTTAGAACTCGTAAAGTTTAGGACTGTTATTCTAATTAATTTATCACACTATTTGTGTATTTACTCAAAATACATATAATTGGATAATACAAATATATATGACAATTAAAACTAAAAAAAAAAAAACAGTATTTTATGCAAGTATACACTTTGTGTTCAGCAATCAGTATTACATTGTATTGTTGTATGAAAATAGGTWACAACAATACAACATTTGTTATCTGTATAAAAAGTATATATGCAAACGTTCCAGGATGTATTTGTACTTTTTATATAGACACCCCAGGATGTATTGCTCTTTACAATAAAA